AAAAAAAAAAAAAAAAAGCAAAGATACACACACACACACACACACACACATACACATACACACACACACACACACACACACAGACAACGACACACACAAAAATACACACTCACCCATTCAGAGAGCGGTAAATCTCACCCACATAAAATAATGTGTAAGCAGATGAACATAAACACATATACAATTAAACTTGTGTGCACACTCACACTCAGACACATGATCTTGCACAAACATAGATGCACCACACACAGAGTCCAAAGACAGAATTAACAAAGTTTGAAAGGTGAAGCAAAGCCAATTGCCCAATTGCTATTCCTCGACCAGCTCTTCTGTGAAAGTGATGCCCACTCGAGCCTGTTCTGTCCCTTTCAGTCAAAAGCATGGAGCAAGTCACATCAGTGCTAGTACAAGCACAAGTTAACTTGGCTCCTCATGTTGTCTATAATCTAGACCTTTCTCTTTCTCACCTATTTCACATTTACAGCCTCATTTTACCACTTTTTTCTCAATTTCAGAGGAAGCAAGACAAAAATTGCCCGGAAATGAAAGTGAGCAATACAGGAGAAAGACATGGTGAAGACAGAGAGACAGAAGAGCAGAGGAAACAATAAAACTCCTTTTATTCACTCAAGAAATATCTGAATGCCAGACTATGTGGTAGATGTTGGGAATTTAACTATGATCTTTCCTCACTGAGTTTTAATGTAATTGGGCAAGTAACCAAATAATTATACTTTGATTATTTCAGTAATTCAGTCTTGTTTTAGGACTAAGTTTGTGAATTTGAGAAAATATCACTAGCTGAATAATCTTGGATTAGTCTCAATTTCCTAATCTGTGAAATGGGAAAAATAACACCAACCTCCTAAAGTTGTGAGGATTCAGACAGATGTTAAACAAAATACTTAGTTCAGTGCTTGGCACAGAAAATAGGTGCTCAAATGATGTCTTCTGGATGAAGAAAAAATAATTACTGTAAGTCTCAAAAGAGAATAGAGAATGTCAATCCCCAGTACAGATCACAGGTAAATGCTTAACTTCTTGGTAGTGTCAGAAATTTAGAAGAACTCAGAGATAACATTCTAAGTTACAACAAAAAGTAGCCATGCTAAAAGTCACCTTTATCAAATGTCCCTACATGCTCAAATCATTTCCAAATCTCTCTTCCTCAGCATCAGTTAATAAAGACTATCTTTGTGTCTCTCACTAGAAAGGCACTTGTTTTAATTTCCTTATATCAGTCCTAGAGATAATATATTTACAGACCCACAGGCATTCCCAGAGAAAGGTCATATCTTCTTCAGAATCAATTAACCCTTTAATATATGATTCTGAAGGTCCAACTGAGAATCAGAAACTCTTTTTAACATAACTTGCTACCTTTCCTTGCTCAAAATCATTCAAAAAAGCACAGAAGGAAGGGTACCAGAAAATCACTAAACAATGAAACCTCCCAACACCTTCCCAAGCCAGATGACACCAAGTCTCCAAAGATATTAGAAAAATTCCAGTTTCCCTCTTCTGTCATGCTATCCCAAGAAAATGGGAAGTCATGTACCTACCTGTGTACAAGTCAGTGTCTGTATATTCATCCACTTTCTTATGCTGCAGAATATAGTCGGAGACCTTGGTCCCAATTGCCGGCTGAACATCCACCCACTCCAAGGAGACCACAGTACTAGATGGCTCCACTGTTGGAGATAGTCGCAGCCTACAGAGAGTGAAAGGGAAGGTTGCTTGTTTGACAAGGGCCCAAAAGAGTCTTCAGGTGTCGAGATGGAGCTCAGGTTTCAGCCTGTATTCTAATCCCGAGTTCACTCACCCCCAACAACTTGCAAGACCACGGGCAAGTTATTTCACCTCTCATGGCCTGTTTCCTTATCAATAAAATGGAGTTACAAAGAGCCATCATTCAAGAGCAATGTAGAATTCAGTAAATTAGTCTATGCACACAGTATGTGCTCAATAAAAGTTGTTTTCCATTTATTTGAGCTATACTCTCAATGATGCTTCCTTTTCATTTAAATTGGCAGTGCCTTCAAACACAGGAGCTTTCAAGTTTTCTGTCATACCTCCAATACCATTAGTTGACTGTATTATACCCTTAAGTCAATACTCTCAATACTGTATAATACCCCTAAGTCAAAAGGAGCAAAAATCTTGGAGTAAATCCTTTTGAAAAGCAAGAAAAAAATGAATAATGGAAGGTTATCATTGAAATGGTCTTTGTAGGCAATGAAGTTTAATTCCCTCATTTCACAAAAATGAGAAAAGGCCCAGGATAGGGAAATGGTTTACACAAGGTCACACAGCTAGTTGAGGACAGGACCGTGATGATAACTTCACTTATCCCCGATCCCAGATTTTTTATTCCTTTCCACTATAACCCATTATCTCTTCAAAGACCACCCTACAATATGATTATTCTAACCCACCGAGGTGTATTAGGGGACTCTGTTTTCCAATATTAGCTATTGTCTACCTCTCGTCTATGCTCCTCACACTTCTCCCTCTTAATTATACTCCTCCAATTAAGATCACTTTACTTCCTCCAATGGTGAACTTCCATTGTTAAGGCCTTCACATATGTCAGGGACTTCATTCTTTATAGAAGTCTGACCCTCTCACTCCCCTGCTTAAAACTCACCAGAGGTTTCCCACAGTCTTCAGGATGAAATCTAAATTCCTTATTCTCGCTCCCAACCATCTCCCCAATCTCATCTCTAACCACTCTTCAGACCTTTTTTGTATAACATCACCTATTCTCATACAACCACTAAAAATTCCCAACAACAGTGAATTCCTGTTTATATAAAGTATGCTCTAAAGCAGGAGACAGCAAACTATTTCTGCCTAAAACACAATTCTCACCAATTGTTGCCAGGTTGATTCCTACCGTAATTCAGGTCTCTAGAGAGGTTTCCCCAACTATTCCTCCTCTGTTCAACTATCTAAAGCATCTCCCCATTGTACTCCTTACTAGCACCTCTTTGTTTCTCTTTGATATTTTTCTTGTTTAAAATTTTAAACTGTATCTTATTTTCCAGTTTTATGCTTTGGCACCTATCTCCCCCATAAAACTGTCAGTTCCCTAAGTGCATAAACTGTGCCTATCTTGTTCACTGACAAATTCCCCAGTGCCTGACTCATACCAAGTATTCAAAATTATTTGTTAAATAAGTTAATACAATAAGGTTATTTAGAAGAGGTTCTATACTAACTTTACCTCAGGAACCCCAGTATCCAACAAAGGACCAGAAAAGCAGTTGGCAGTTGCCTAGTAAACTTTTGCTGCATGGATAAGTAAAGGAATGAATGACGGACTGAATGGCTTCATTTAAAATAGCACACACTGCAATATCAGAGTCTACCTCTGCACCATGTTTCTATTCTACTAAAGCTCTCTTATTTTCTAAAAAAGGAAGGCCCCAAGGACTTCAGGAAGTTGGGTAGGCAACTTGGAAACAGAAGCAAGTCATGGTTTAGGTTGGCAGGACAGGAGTGTGAGTCCATGAAAAGGGATGACCAAAGGAAAAGGGGCCATACATACGTACACCGGCTGTGGAAGGGGGCTGCAGTTGGGAAGCCCACTGGCATCAAAGGCGCTGAGGTCACACCTACACCAGTCATCAATCACATCCCCTTTCCCCGAGCACCAGTAGGAACTCATCAGTGCATTCTTGAAAGCCTGGAATAAAGGACAGAAGAGATAATGATGACAATGCAGAGTAGCCCTTCTGAATACAGGATATCATCTCTTCTTTAAATCCCTACCCTAAGCCATTCTCTATCCAGTAGCCAGAATGATTATTGAGAAAAAATAATAACAGCATCCACTGAGAACCTCCCCTGGGTTTGGCCTCTACCTATATTAACTTAACCTTCACAGCAACCCCACATGGTAGAAATCAGCATCATCATCATTATCATTAGCATCATCCATCATGATAATTTCCCATTTTACATATTGGTAAACTGAGGCATGCAGAAAGTAAGTAGCTTGCCTGAAGTTCATAGCTAGTAAGTGATAGAGCTGATATCCAGGTCCAGGAGGTCTGGCTCCAGAACCCTCTCAAATACCTTGCTACATTGCTTCATGTAGAAGTCTGACCTTTTCACTGCACCCTCCAGAGTCTAAATTTCTTATTCCCACACCTGACCGTTTCTCCAGTCTCATCCCTAACCACTCTTCAGACCATCTGTGTATGGTATCATCTATTGTCATGTAGTCACTAACATTTCCAACAACAGTGAATTTCTATTTCTATAAATTATTCTCTAAATCAGGAGACAGCAAACTGTTTCTGTGAAGAGCCAGATAGTAAGTAATTTTCTAGCTTTGTGACCAAATAGTCGCTGGCACAATTACTTAACATTGCCTTTGTAGCATGAAAGTGATACAAACAATACTTTAAATTAATGGGCATGTCTGTATTCTTTCAAAATTTTGTTTATATTTACAAAGACAGGTGGCAAGTTAGATTGGGTCTGAGGGTTATAGTTTGCTGACCCTTGCTCTAAGTGATAATCAGTGATCTATTTAATTGCAAGGTGCTTCATTGTTTGCCTGTTTGTTTGTGTTTAAACGTTGTCTGTTTTCTACCTGATATATTCTCCTTTTGGTAGTTCATTTCAATCTTTTGGTCTCAAATTAAGCATTCCTTTCTCTGGGAACTCCAATTTTCTAAAGCCTGGAATTATGCTTCTCTTCTGGACACCATAACACTCTAGACCATATTTTGTTTGTTTGGCTGGTTGGTTTTTAACGACTTTTCTTTTTGTAGAAACAGGGCCTCATTATGCTGCTCAGGTGGTCTTAAACTTCTTGCCTCAAGTGATCCTCCTGTCTTGGCCTATGAAAGAGCTGAAATTATAAGTGTGAGCCACTGCACCCGGCCCTAGACCATAGCTACCATCACATTTCCTTGTCTGTCTTACCCAACAGACACTGATCCACAAAGGTCCAGGGTCAAGCCCTATTCACATGAATATTTTTATGGGTCTTAGCACAGTTACTCAGCCAATATTTAGTAAATAAATGAATAGTTACTGAAAAACTGATCATTAATATTTGGCAGTAAAGAGACCTTGGAAGGTACTTCTCAGGTGAGCTCAGGACAGGCCTCAAGTTTTTTTGCCTTCTACTTCCTTCCTGTCCCTCAGTTTCAAGGTGTGAAAGATACCTTAAATGTGTGCTTGATGCTGTCCCTGATGTTTCTAGGCATTAGGGATTCAGAATGTATGACAGTTCTAAAACTGAAGGATTCCAGAGAATATGAATCTCTTACTCCTCTCCAGGTAAGTACTTTGCTTTACTTCTTTTTCTTTTCTTTTATATATATTTTAATTTTTGCGTGCTTTTAAATGAAAGTCATATTTAAATACATTTATATTCTTGTGGATGTTGAACCAGCCCTGCATCCTGGGGATGAAGCCTACTTGGTCATGGTGGATGATTTTTGGGATGTATTATTGGATCCAGTTTGCGAGAATCTTGTTGGGAATTTTAGCATCTATGTTCATCAAGGATATTTGGCCTGAAGTTCTCTTTGTTGGATCGTTACCCATTTGGGTATTAATGTGATGTTAGCTTCATAAAATGATTTGGGGAGAGTTTCATCTTCCTCAATTGCCTGGAATATGTCCAATAGGATTGGTATCAGCTCCTCCTTGTATGATTTGTAGAATTCTGCTGGAAAGTCATCTGGTCCATGGTTTTTTTTGTTTTGTTTTGTTTTTTGTAGGTAGTTTTCTTATGACATAGTTAATTTCCTGAGTTCTTATTGGTCTATTTAGGGTCATGATTTCTTCTTATTTCATCCCAGAGATGCTGTGTGATGTCAGAAAGTCCTCCATCTCATTTAGGTTTTCAAATTTATTTCCATACAAGTGTACATAGCAATCTCTGGTTATCTGTTGTATTTCTTTGGGGTCAGTTGTGACTTGATGTTTTGCTTTTCTGATTGTGTTTATTTGGATTTTGTCTCTCTTTTTCTTGGTCAGTCTAGCTAGGGGTCTATCAATCTTGTTTATCCTTTCAAAGAACCTACTTTTTGTTTTGTTGGTTTTTTTGTATTATATTTTTGTCTTCTATGTCATGAATTTGAGCTTTTATTTTGTTGATCTGGACTATTCTGCTGAAGTTAGAGTTTTAGAAGTCTTGCTTTTCCAGCTTCCTTAGGTGATTTGTTAGGCTGTTAACTTGTGATCTTTCCAGAAATACCTAGGCATCTTCCAAACCAGAGAAGTGAAAGACCTTTACAATAAAAACTACAAAACATTGCCCAAAGAAATCAAAGATGACACAAACAAATGAAAAAAGATTCCATGATCATGCATTGGAAGAATCAACATTGTTAAGATGTTCATCCTATGCAAGGCAATCTACAGATTTAATGCAGCATCTTTCTCAGACCTGGAAATGGCAATACAGGAATTAATATGGAAACATAAATGACCATTAATGGCCGAAACAATCCTCAGAAACAAAAACAAAAACAAAAACAAAAAACAGGAGATATCACACTCTCAGACTTTAAACTTTATTGTAAAGTTACAATAATCAAAACAGTCTGATACTGGTACAAGAGCAAGCATATAGACCAATGGAACAGGGTAGAGATTCCAGAAGCAAAACTTCAATTTATCAACCAACTCATTTTTCACAAAGCCTTCACCATCAACCACTGGGAAGAGGAGAACCTATTCAGTAAATGGTGCTGGGAAAACTGACTGACCACATGCAGATAATTAAAACAAGACCCCTACCTATCATCTTTCACAAAAATCAACTCTAAATCGATCAAAGACCTAAATCTAAAACATCAAACTATAAGAAACTTAGAAAATGCAGGAGACACCCTCATGAAAATTGGAACTGGCAACTAATTCCTGATCAAAACACCAAGTGCCCATGCCAGAAAAGATAAGATAGACAAGTAGAACCTCTTCAAACTGACAAGCTTCTGCAAAGCAAAAGAAACCATCAAGAGAGTGGGGAGACAGCCCACAGACTGAGAAAAAATATTTGCCAACTTTATATCCGACAAAGACCTAACATCTAAGATTCACAAGGAACTCAAATGTGCCAAAAAGAAAAAAACAAACAACCCCATTATAAAGTGGGCCAAATATATGAATAGACACTTCTCAAAAGAAGACATACACACAGCCAATAGATACATGAAAAAATGCTCAGCCTTACTAGTCATCAAAGAAATGCAAATTAAAACCACACTGAGATATCACCTAACTCCAGTCAGGATGGTCATCATCAATAACTCAAAAAACAATAGGTGCTGGAGAAGATGCAGGGAAAAGGGAATGCTTCTACACTGTCGGTAGGAGTGTACACTATTACAACGTCTGTGGAAAACAGTTTGGTGATTCCTAAAAGATCTAAATATTGACCTTCCACCCTTGCAATCCCCCTACTGGGAATATACCCAGAGGAACTCAAAGCACTCTATGAAAAAGATACCTACACATGCATGGTTATTGCAGCATTATTTACAACAGAAAAAACATGAAACCAACTGTTCTGCCCATCAAAAGAGGACTGGATAAAAAAATGTGGTACATATACATGATGGAATATTACACAGCCATAAACAAGGACAAAATTATGAAATTTGCAGCAAGTTGGTTGGACTTAGAGTCCATAATACTGAATGATGTATCACAGAAACAAAGAACTGAGTACCACATATTCTCACTCATATACGGACTGAACAATTATCCTAATACTATAAGAAAGGGACTGGCAACAGTTGGAAACTGCCAGGGGAGGAGAGTACACCTCATCAAAAAGGGTACCTGCATCATGAACATTTGAACATTTGTATACCTAATCCTGAATTGTTGGGTATACAAACTACCCCACAGCTTCAAAATTAAAAATTTTTAAAATAAAAAATAAATGAAGCTGTACACAGCCTGTAACCAAGAACACCTGATTAACCAGATGACACTTTTTCCATCCTGCATTGTTTCAAAGACTCAAGTAGAGTATATACATGTAAAGTGGGCCTGGGGTCTCTCTCCATAGTGACCCAGAACATAGATCTAAAAGGAGAAGATGTCTATAAAGCTTTCATCATATTTCTCCCAGAGGTTTTGACAAAAAGGATCCAATTATTCTTGCCATACATTTAACCCATATCCACTCCTAGGGATGAACAAATTGTCTAATTTCTCCTGAGTTAAGTATATTGACCCCAATAAATGCATAATTATAGTCAAAGTTTATGTTTATGGAGTACTCAATTATATATTGCAAAGTGTTTTAGGTGCATTAACAAATGTAATTGTCACAATAGTCTGGAGATACAAATATTATGATACTCATGTACAGATGAGAAAACTAGGAATCAGAGCAATGAGGCAACTTTCCCAAGATCACACAGCAAGAAAAATGTGGACACAGAATCCAAACTCAGATCTTTTTGTAACTCCCAAGTCCAGGCCATTTCTGCTCAACCATGCAGAGCAGTGGGATTAACCCCAAGTAGAGTTGCCAGATTCCTTATATTATAAAAAGACAGGGTGCCCAGCTAAATTTAAATTTCAGACAACATTTTCTTTAGTGTAAGTCTATTCCATGATATATTTGTATATAAAGTTTTTGGGCCAGGGTCTGGCACAGAGTAAGAGCACTGGTTCTACTGGGTGCCAGAACTTATGCTGAGAACAAACGTCCCTTCTCTAACCAGCACCAGAGGGAGGCACTCTCATCAGGACTGAAACCAGATGGGACTGTATGAGGTCATGCTGACCGTCAGACCTTTTCTCACTCCCTTTTCAGGTTTCCCCTTAGTGAAATTAGTGCGCATAACTGCTCATAGCTTAAGATTCTGTAACATCTTCAGCCGGTATTAAGCACTTAATTACCATAATGGTAAAATCCAGGGCCATGGGCAAAAGTGACACAGATGGGAAGATTGCACTGGACTCCAGCAATAGGAGGGAAAGCATCCTGTTGTGTATGTGTATGTGTTTTGTGTGTGTGTTGTGACTGTTTGTGTGTATGTGTGTGTGCGGTTTTTATAATCAATAGGAACTTGAGCTTGTGGAAAACAAAACAGGAAATCTCTCTGGACTTTGTGAGTTTCACCATCCAGGCAGTTCTTGGGAAGAAATCCTGCCTGTAAGTCTCCGCATCCCGCATCCACTGGCTCTTTCCCAAAACCCTGAGGAACAGAATGGGGACTGGTGCAACAGCCTGGCCAACACTGGATAGAGCACAAACACACCCTGATAAAAGGCTGACATCAAACAGGGAGCCCTTGCAAGAGAGCAGAAGCCAGCATTGTGTCAGCGCAGGATCACTCTTTCCTTACGTCTTCAGTCCTTGCAACACTCCATCCACAGTCCAATTAGATCCCAGGGGAGAGGAATCATAGAATGTTCCAACTTCACAGGATTCTGCGAGTCATCTAATCTAATCTGATTCACAGATGCAGATACAGTGGCCCAGAAGGGCTAGGTGGCTGGACCAAGGTGATGGAGAAGCTTTGTGATAAAACTGTTTATTTCTCCACTTAATGTTCAAAATTACCCTTTGGGATTGGTGTCCTAATCCCATTTATACACAAGGATGGAGGAGTAGGGAGGAACTTGAACTGAAGTCTATTTAAAGCCTGGCACCTTTGACCTTCTTAGGTCACCAGAAACAATAAATGCCAAGATTTCATTCAAAATATCCTGTTTAGCTGCTCTGCTTGGGCCATGTGCTTGTGTGTGTGTGTGTGTGTGTGTGTGTGTGTGTGTGTGTGTGTGTGTGTGTGCGCGCGCGCGCTCACGCACACGCACATGTTCCATGTGTTGTTTGCATATGTGTGTCTGTGTGTGTTCTCAGAGAAAATGAAACATTACACTAGAGGCATTGTTGACTTTTGGCTTTTGAATAAGTAGAGCGATCTAAGAAACAAATCCTGTACTTAATACAGGGGCTACATTTGCATAGCCATTGGTTTTCATAACAAAGAAGGTTTGCATTTCCACAACTTGTAAATGCTTCCAACTTTTGACTAATTAGCTAGCAAACTAAGCTGGGCAGGAGGAGAAAACAACCACAAAAATGTTAAGCAATCAAAATAAACTAGGGTTTATTTCTGACTCTTGTTACTTTCCTACTTGAACTTGAATAAGTGATTCCTCTTTCTTTATTTTATTTTATTTTATTTTATTTTAAAGATGTGGGCTACAATTCAGTTAGGTATACAAATGTTCACCATGCAGGTACCCTTGTTGATACTGTGTGCTCCCTGACCCCCACCGTGATTCCTCTTTCTAAGACTTGATTTCTCCATGTGCAAAATGAGGAGACAGAGGAAATATTTTTTGCAGGTTTAATTAAATTAAATAAATATTCACGGAACTTCCTACTCCATACCTGTGCCATCTAGAAACTAAGAAAGGGATGAACAAGACCCAGTTGCTGGATTCAAAGCTATGGTTTAATGGTAAAGACACAAACCTTAAAGTTAGCTTGTTTCATATGCTAATGAAATGATAGTTCTGATTCTGTATGATTCCAAAAAAGAAAAAAAGAAAAAAATTAGCTAGGCGTGGTGGCACATTCCTATTGTCCCAGCTATTTCGGAGGATGAGATGAAAGGATCACCTGAGCCAAGGAAGTCGAGGTTGTAGTGAGCCATGATTGTGTCTCTGCACTTTAACCTGGGTGAAATCCCAATGTAGATGTATATATGTAGATGTTTCTAAGTATTTTAATCAAATACAGGGTATTTACTTAAAGATATATATATATAAATCTTTAAGTATTTATAAATATAATATGTATGTGTGTGTGTGTGTATACCTTGTACTTGATTAAGATACTTAGAAACATCTACATAGATTGTCACTAAACCCTTGAATTAAATTCCATACACTATACTTTTTTTTTTTTTTTTTGAGTTGGAGTCTCACTCTGTCGCCCAGACTGGAGTGCAGTGGCCGCTCCCAAGCCACCGCAGCCTCAACCTGCTGGGCTCTGGCGATCCTTCCGCCTCAGCCTTCTGAGTAGCCAGAATTACAGGCACGTGCTACCATGCCCGGATGATTTTTTTTTTTATTTATTGTAGAGATGAGGTCTCACTGCCCAGGTGGGTCTCGAACCTGCGGGCTCAGGCAATCCACTCACCTCAGCCTCCCAAAGGCGCGGGATTACAGGCTGAGCCACCAAGCCTGGCCATACACTATACTTTTAATGACAGTATTTTTTACACTAAAAATCTCATGTGCTGATACCAAATCAGTTTGTTTTTTTTTATACTAAGATTGTTCTGATTCTGCATGATTCCCAAAAGGTGTTCAGAAGTGCTCACCCAAAGCCTAAAGGATTCTATTTCTACAGGACTAAAAAGTTTGGTCAAGTGACTGCACATACCAAATGAGGATGGGAAAAATTTTCTAGAGACCAAACAATCTGTTACCTTTTAACCCTTGTCTCCATTTTAGCACCTCACACAGTACCTGACATTTATTATCAGTCAGTCAATATTTGTGGAATTGAATTAAAAGTTCACATGGAATACTGGATGACAAAAAAGTAATTAATAAGTAATAAAAGCAAATAAAATGTGTATTTTATTTGCAATCCTCTTCTACCCCATGATTACTTGTATCTCCTATGTCAATTTGGTCCCACTAACCAAAACCTGGGGTCAATCTGGGCTCCTCCCTCTGTCTCATAAGGTTTCTCAAAACCAGCCTCTCTTCTCTGGTCCCACTGCTGCCTCCTTGGTGCAGGCTAGTAATGCCCTTTCCATGGGCAGTTTCTGTGCCTCTAGACTGGTCTCCAGCGTTGTATTGCCTCTTCCAGCACGGCTCTCACTCACAACGTTCTGAAAATCACTGCGTATTTCCCCCCTCTCACATGGACCCTCCATAAGTTCCACACTTTCCAGTTAAAGCTTCTACTAATAATCTGACATCCAAAGTCCTTGGTTCTTCAGCCTATGGCTCTTCTCCCAGCATCTTATCCCCACTGCTCTCACTCTGTGACCCAGCACATCCCAACTTCTTACATCAGTGCAGTTTTATAACCACAAGCCTTTTCTCATGCTGTTTGTGCCTCTGATCTGAAATGCCCTTTCCGCACTTCTTCCTCCTTGCTGAATTCCAGGAAACTGTCCCTAACCAACTGAATTCTGCCAAACCTTGAGCGATTTCTGTCTCTTCCTCCTCACATTCAATTTTTGCACATTTCACATTTTCTTGAAATTTGCTTATGTATATGTCCTACTCACCTATCACACTATGAACGCCTCCAGGGCAAGTCATATATATAATTCATCCTTGTGACTCTAGCTCTAAGAAAAAGAGTAAACACATAGCAGGGTCCTGATATGAAATAGGATGCCAGTCAGGGATTAAACTTGTATAGTTTCTCTTGCTGTATTCTTCTAGCAAAAGAGATGACAGGAATGCAAGTGGTCACCATAAAAATACTAAATTACCTTGGAACCACTGAAAGGAGGTTGGGGTGAACAATGAAGGTAATAAAGTTCCTTTTGGAATAATTGGGATGACTGCTTGAAAGGGAGTGGGTTGGTGGCTTTTTTTTGCCAGGGAAGTGCTTGAAGGTAAAAAATAAGAAGCTTTTGGAAAGAGATAGGAGGAAGAATGGTTGACGACCCCCTTTATAGAGAGACTAATTGCTGAGCCCATGACAAGGATGCGTTTACTTGGTCATGAGGGACTGGGATTCATGAACATGGGAAGGATGGAAGAGGATAGCACAGCAGTGTCTGCACAAAAGCAGAAAAAGAGATTTTTAGCTTAGTTTAGAACCCTGGGATAGGATCTACCTGGGCCATCTGCCATCAGTCATCAGCATATAACCTCATAGTGACTGCAGGAATTCCAACCACTCATTTCGGTAGATATAGGAGACAGAGTTCAGTAGCCAGAGCCCTTATTCTTTAGGAATGGAATAAGACATGCCCATGTGCCCTGACAGTGAGACAGAGATTAATTGATCATTCTGTTACAAATCAATGAATGTATAATTAAACAGCATGTGTGAGAACACATATAGGGAGAAAAGTGGTTAGTGTTAGTTGACTTGTCTTATTATTCCCATACAAAGCAGGAAGGCAGGTATGGTTAATCATCTCAAAAATTGCTTGGAGAAGAAAGCAACTAGGTAGCTAAGCAAAGGGAAGACGAACCCTTAAACTACATACATATCCTAGAAGCTAGAGGGCTCTGAAGGGCACACAAGCATATTCATTGACACAGGTCCTTGGCATTTAAGATTTAGAGGAGTCGTGAGAAGTGATTCTGGCCCTTACAATTCTGTACAGATGAGGAGGCCCAAAGAGGAAAAACATTCACTGTACCAGGTTGCCTACTTTTGGTTCTGGGTTCAAGCCACCAACCTCTGTCATTTTAATGGAAAACAAACATAACAGCATTTACTGAGAGTGTGATAAGCACTTTAAACATATGTTATATCATCTAATCGTGTCAATAACTTTATGTGGTAGAGTCTCCTGTTACTATCCTCAGTTTCTCAGAGAAGAAAACTGAGATCTGAAGGGTGAAATAGCCTGTTTAAGGTTAACCAGCTAAAAAGCAGTAGAACTCAGGTCATCTGATCCTGAAGACCATGCTTTCAGCCACTACAATCATAAGCAATGCCTTGCTGAACTAGAGGATATTAATAACACTTGACATTTATTGAGTGCTTACTACAAGCCAGGCACCATTGTAAGGTCTTTGTATTATTCCTCATGATACCCTAAGTACTTTAGAAATATTAACTCATTAAGTTTTCCCAACAAGCTGTGAGGTAATGTGGTTAGTATGTCCAATTTACATTCGTTGCCCAAGTCACATAGCTAGGAAGTGGCAGAGACAGGATTTGAATTCAGAAAATTTAATTTAAACCAGGAAACCTAAGC